TGAAGGTGGGTGAATACTTTCGCAAGCAACTGTATAAAAAAAAAGGAAAATCACGTTTTAACTGCACTGACCCTTTAAGGCCTAGCTTCAAATAGATCAAGCGATAACTGGCGATAACCGACACCCTGATGTTTTGGCAGTGTTGGAGGTGTATATGCGTTGGAGCTGTCAAATAAGTGAGAAGCTGCTTTTGTGATCATTGTCACGAAGTCACACCCATCCCACTCATTCTGAACTATGTCAAGTTCAGAAGGAGAAAGTGTAGGCAGTCACTTTAACTCTACCCACATGTACATATTACCTCAATTATCTCGACTAACCGGTGCCCCCGCACATTGACTCTGTACCGATACCCCCTGTATATAGCCTTCCTACTGTTATTTAATTTTACTGCTACTCTTTAATGATTTGCTATTTTAATTTTTTTACTTATGTATTTCTTACTGAACACTTTTTTTTATTTTCTTAAAACTGCATTCTTGGTTAAGGGCTTGTAAGTAAGCATTTCACTGTAAGGTCTACACCTGTTGTATTCAGCGCATGTGGCAATACAATTTGATTTGATTTCATATAGAAATAATTGAAAATGTAAAATCATTAAATTAAATAATGAGGATTTCTATCAGCCTAATCCCAGTGTTCGAACTTGTAAAGAAGGCTGCATGGGATTTATGTTACTGCAACTCCGTGCAGCTAATGACAATGTTGGCTTTTTTCAGTGGTGTAACGTACTGAAGTAAAAATACTTGAAAATACACTCCAACACTCAGACATCGTTTACAAACGAAGCATGTGTGTTTAGTGAGTCCGCCAGATCAGAGGCAGTAGGGATGACCAGGGATGTACAGTTGAAGTCGAAAGTTTACATACACTTAGGTTGGAGTCATTAAAACTCGTTTTTCAAACACTCCACACATTTCTTGTTAACAAACTATAGTTTTGGCAAGTCGGTTAGGACATCTACTTTGTGAATGACACAAGTAATTTTTCCAACAGTTGTTTACAGACAGATTATTTCACTTATAATTCACTGTATCACAATTCCAGTGGGTCAGAAGTTTACATAAACTAAATTGACTGTGCCTTTAAACAGCTTGGAAAATTCCAGATTATGATGTCATGGCTTTAGAAGCTTCTGATAGGCTAATTGACATAATTTGAATCAATTGGAAGTGTACTTGTGGATGTATTTCAAGGCCTACCTTGAAACTCAGTGTCTATTTGCTTGACATCATGGGAAAATCAAAAGAAATCAGCAAAGACCTCAGAAAAAAATGTGTAGTCTGGTTCATCCTTGGGAGCAATTTCCAAACGCCTGAAGGTACCACGTTCACCTGTACAAACAATAGTACGCAAGTATAAACACCATGGGACCACCCAGCCGTCATACCGCTCAGGAAGGAGACGCGTTCTGTCTCCTAGAGATGAACGTACTTTGGTGCGAAAAGTGCAAATCAATCCCAGAACAACAGCAAAGAACCTTGAGAAGATGCTGGAGGAAACAGGTACAAAAGTATCTATATCCACAGTACAACGAGTCCTATATCGACATAACCTGAAAGGCTGCTCAGCAAGGAAGAAGCCACTGCTCCAAAACCGCCATAAAAAAGCCAGATTACGGTTTGCAACTGCACATGGGGACAAAGATTGTAATTTTTGGAGAAATGTCCTCTGGTCTGATGAAACAAAAATAGAACTGTTTTGCCATAATGACCATTGTTATGTTTGGATGAAAAAGGGGGTCGCTTGCAAGCCGAAGAACACCATCCCAACCGTGAAGCACGGGGGTGGCAGCATCATGCTGTGGGGGTGCTTTGCTGCAGGAGGGACTGGTGCACTTCACAAAATAGATGGCATCATGAGGAAGGAAAATTATGTGGATATATTGAAGCAACATCTCAAGACATCAGTCAGGAAGTTAAAGCTTGGTCGCAAATGGGTCTTCCAAATGGACAATGACCCCAAGTATACTTCCAAAGTTGTGGCAAAATGGCTTAAGAACAACAAAGTCAAGGTATTGGAGTGGCCATCATAAATCCCTGACCTCAATCCTATAGAAAATGTGTGGGCAGAACTGAAAAAGTGTGTGCGAGCAAGGAGGCTTACAAACCTGACTCAGTTACACCAGCTCTGTCAGGAGGAATGGGCCAAAATTCAACCAACTTATTGTGGGAAGCTTGTGGAAGGCTACCCGAAACGTTTGACCCAAGTTAAACAATTTAAAGGCAATGCTACCAAATACTAATTGAGTGTATGTAAACTTCTGACCCACTGGGAATGTGATGAAATAAATAAAAGCTGAAATAAATCATTTTCTCTACTATTATTCTGACATTTCACATTCTTAACATAAAGTGGTGATCCTAACTGACCTAAAACAGAATTTTTACTAGGATTAAATGTCAGGAATTGTGAAAAACTGAGTATAAATGTATTTGGCTAAGTTGTATGTAAACATCCGACTTCAACTGTATCTGTACTTTACTTTACTATTTATATTTTTGACTACTTTTACTTTTACTTCACTACATTCCTAAATAAAATAATGTGCTTTTTACTCCATTCAAATTCCCTGACACCCAAAAGTACTCATTACATTTTGAATGCTTAGCAGGACAGGAAAACAGTCCAATTCACGCACTTATCAAAACAACATCCCTTGTCCCTTGTCATCCCTACTGCCTCTGATCTGGCGGATTCACTAAACACACATGCTTCGTTTGTAGACGACGTCTGAGTGTTGGAGTGTGCCCCTGGCTATCCGTAAAAAATATATAAAATGTAATGGTGCTGTCTGGTTTACTTAATATAAGGAATTTGAAATTATTTATACTTTTACTTTTGATACTTAAGTATATTTCAGCAATTACATTTACTTTTGATACTTAAGTATAGTTAAAACCAAATACTCATAGACTTTTACTCAAGTAATATTTTACTGGGTGACTTTCACTTTTACTTGAGTCATTAACTATTAAGGTATCTTCACTTTTACTGAAGTATGACAATTGGGTACTTTTCCACCGCTGGCTTTAGGTATAATGCTGGGAGCCGCTTGTGGATTTGACAGCTCTAAAGCAGTTCCACCTCCGACACACCAAAACAACCGCTACGCGGGTATCGGCTAGGACGGTTCTGATAGAATCTAGCCCTAAATTTAAATCACAATGTAACACTGAACTTCCGCGATACGGATTGAACAGAGCCCTTTACACAGCAGGTCTTAACAGCCTAGTAACGTATACTGAACAAAAATATTAACCCAACATGCAACAATTACAAAGATTTTACTGAGTTACTGTTCACATAAGGGAATCAGTCAATTTAAATAAATTAATTAGGACCTAATCTATGGATTCCATATGACTGGGAATACAGATATGCATCTGTTGGTCACAGACCCCTAGGTAGGGGCATAGATCAGAAAACCAGTCAGTATCTGGTGTTACCACCATTTGCCTCATGCAGCGCGACACATCTCCTTCACATAGAGTTGATCAGGCTGTTGATTGTGGCCTGTGGAATGTTGTCCTACTCCTCTTCAATGGCTGTGCGAAGTTGCTGGATATTGACGGGAACTGGAACACACAGTTGTACACGTCGATCCAGAGCATTCCAAACATGCTCAAATGGGTGACATGACTGGTGAGTTTGCAGGCCATGGAAGAACTGGGACATTTTCAGCTTCCAGGAATTGTGTGCAGACCCTTGCGACATGGGGCTGTGCATTATCATGCTGAAACATTAGGTGATGGCAGCGGATGAATGGCACGACAATGGGCCTCAGGATTTCGTCACGGTATCTCTGTGCATTCAAATTGCCATTGATAAAATGCAATTGTGTTTGTTGTCCATAGCTTATGCATGGCCATACCATAACCCAACTGCCACCATGGGGCACTCTTTTTACAAAGTTGACATCAGCAAACCGCTCACCCACACAACGCCATCTGCCCGGTTCAGTTGGAAACTGGGATTCATCCATGAAGAGCACGCTTCTCCAGTGTGCCAGTGGCCATTGAAGGTGCCACTGAAGTCGGTTAAGACGCAGAACTTCAGTCAGGTCAAGACCCTGGTGAGGACGACGAGCACGCAGATGAGCTTCCCTGAGACGGTTTCTCTAAAATGATGTTGGAGGCGCCTAATCGTAGAGAAATTAACATTCAATTCTCTGTTAACAGCTCTGGTGGACATTCCTGCAGGCAGCATGCCAATTGCACGCTCCCTGAAAACTTGAGACATCTCTGGCATTGTGTTGTGTGACAAAAAGGCACATTTTAGAGTGGCATTTTATTGTCCCCCATCAAGGCAGGGCCCCCCACCTCCTCTCCTCCCCCAGCTGATGATTAGCAGCAGCAGGCTATCTACACTCATTAAGAGCGGGCTCCTGTGGTTGGCAGTTGCAGTAAAACATTTTTTTCTCTTCCCTATGGGCTTGGGTCCCGGGGCTTCAGCCCTTTAAGCCCCTCCATTAATCAGGCCCTGCTCCCGAATTATAAAGGCGAGCCATGACAGCCAACGATCATCTCCGGAGTTCTGTCTGAACCCGCAGGACGCAACTGGGGCTACACTGTGAGTGCTGATAATTATTAACACCAAACTAGGTTAGTAGCCTACTAGGACTGTTAATTTCATCTTGATTAGGTGATTTTCAGTCAGGAAACGATATTCTGAATAATTTAAACTGTTGAAAAGTTGATTTAAATGTTTTTGTCATCAAATCTTGATGCATCGTTTTGCCATTGCATTTCGCAAAATTGCTGCTATTTTTTCACGCACTTAGCTTACAACTACAGACCTTAATTAGGATATAATGACAGTTGTTTCATTTAAGGAATTCCACTTATGTTTCTTCTAGACTTCAACAGGTGCGCTGACTAAACCAGTCCTCAGTGAGTGGAGATTCTGCCTTTGCCTGATAACAGTGGCGTTTTTCTTCAGTTGAGCTGCTCTGTCCTGTTCTATCCTGTACCCGAGGGTTGTGACTCCCGCTTGCCGCCATGCCCTCACTATTCCCGGCATGGCTCTGGTGCCTTAGCCTGCTCACCCTGGAGACACACACCCTGGCCCTTCCGCGGCCAGCCCGGACACAGCCTCACAGGTACGGCCACTTCACACTATGACTGTGACTGATATAACATCGTTTTGCAACAAACCTCTAGACTACTGTAGTAAATCGGACAAATTACAGTGTGCTAGTCCTAGGTTTTAGGATGTGAGGGTGCAAGGCAAAATAATGTGTCATTACAACATTATTATTATTTTGAAGGATGGAGATCAAGCAGTCCATATTGAAACATATTTAAGAAGTGACAGTATGAACTAATGATATTGATCAAGACAGAGCTGTGGGCCAATCTCTGTGTTCACTGTTTGGTTCATCATGTCTGTCTTTGCGATGTGTGTGTCTGCTTCAGTGTGTTATGTGGAAGAAGGGAGAGATGGAAGCTAAATTAGACCCCCCCCCCCCACCCCCCCACCCCACACACACACACACACCATCTTCTTTCTCTTACACACACACACATCCTGCCCCTGACCTCTCTCTCCCTGTCTGGCCATTTCAGTGGCAGTAAGTTATGTGTGAAAAGGTTACAACAACAGAATTAGGTAATTCCTCTAAAAGCCCCCAGAAGACTGACCCTGTATAATGAAAGAGAGGGAGGTGGAGGGCTGTGTGTGTGTGTGTGTGTTTGTTTCCAGTGTGATTTAATAAGGATTGGGAACACTGATACACAATATTAACATCTCAGTTTGTGAGGGAGGGCAATGTGTGGCTCAGTGTTGTGTGTACAGTTGTGTGTGTGTGTGTGTGTGTGTGTTTACAGTAGGAAGTAAATTGTTTTATCGGAGACCGACTGCAGTGACCAGTATCTCTCTGGAAGCTGTGTTGTGAATGCTAACTAATGAAGCAGGTGCTAGTTATGGTATCTTACCACAGTGTTTCTCAACTCCAGTCCTCCACCCAACATTACACATTTTTATTATAACCCATTGTGTGTGTGCATGTGGTGGGGGTCTTACAGTGATAAAGGTGTGTGGCTCAGTTAGTAGAGCATGGTGCTTTCAACGCCAAGGTTGTTGGTTCGATACCCACGGGGGACCAGTACAATTCCCATGGGGAGCCAATCGCTCTGGATAAGAGCATCTGCTAAATGACTAAAATGTAAAATAAATGAGACGTAAAGAGTTGAGAAGGACAGAGAGGAGAAAACGGAGGCTCACTCCGGGGAAGTAGTGTTTCTCTTGTCTGAAGTGGTTGTGAGAAGGGTGGTGGGGGGTTGGTGTGTGAAGGATGGTTGGAGGTTGGTGTGTACTTCTCTTTGGTTCAGGGCTCATGCTGGGCTCTAACCTGGGAGGAATGCAAGAGTAGCTCTTCATTCACACGGACGGACGGACGGACGTACGTACGTACGTACGCGCGCGCGCACACACACACACACACACACACACACACACACACACACACACACACACACACACACACACACACACACACACACACACACACACACACACACACACACACACACACACACACACACACACACACACACCCACACACCCTCTGTGTTCAGAGGTAGTGATCAGGTACAGTAGTCTGATGCTAGAATCAGTATTTCTGCAGACGTTATCCTTTGATCAGACAAAGTAGCTGTTTCTCATTCTCTCCACCCAGGCTTTATCTTTATTTCCACACCAGTCAATCGTTGTTAGTCACATAGAGGGGGCCGTCACCACCTCTCTCTCTCAATTAAATTTAATCATCTCTCTCTCGCTCGCTCTCTCGCCAAAGCAAGTGAAATAGATAATAAACAAAGTCAAATAGATAATAAACATAAGTAAAATAAACAATCAGTAATTAACATTAAACATTACACTCACAAACGTTTCAAAATAATAGAGACAGTTCAGATGTTATATTATGGCTTTGTACAGTGTTGTAACAATGTGCACATAGTTGAAGTACACAATAAACATAAATATGGGTTGTATTTACAATGGTGTTTGTACATCACTGGTTGCCATTTTCTTGTGGCAACAGGTCAAAAATATTGCTGCTGTGATAGCACACTGTGGTATTTCACCTAATAGATATGAGAGTTTATCAAAATTGGATTTGTTTTCAAATTCTTTGTGGATCTGTGTAATCTGAGGGAAATATATGTCACACACACACACAGAGAGAAGTAGCGTGTGGTGGTTGGTCAGTGGCCTACATTTTGGTGCCAAAAGCCTTTTCTTCTGGAGATGACCTTGTTCTGACACGATCTCCAGGTGGTCCTGGCACTCCAAACCAACAGAGAGAGGTGTGTGTGTCTGTGTGTGTCTAAATGCTGCAAAGAGCATAAGAAAACACTATAACTGCCAGGAAGTCAGGTGTAGAGTGCACGTGTTTGTCCTACTAACGCACCACTAACGTTTAACATTTCACTGACGTCCAGAGGGACTGTAAACAGAGAGAATGTGTGTGTGTGTCTCTGTGACCGTTGACCTGTGTGGTTTAATATGGCAGCCATTTTCCACGGGGTCATGATGTCCCTTCAGAGAGGAATGAATACCACACTGGATTACTGGATATAAAAGACTTAGGACTGCATACCAGCCTAAATTACTTCACATACACTATAGTTTGGGCGGATCGTGTTGAAAATTGTTTGAGCTCATACCTAAAGCTTGTGTTTCTAGAGTTTGACAGTAAAACTAAACAATAACAGTGAAAACTGTTTAGGCTACTCCATTTTCTCAACTAATGCCATAAAATAACAGCTACAGTACACATGCAAATGGCATAGAGAGTAATTAGAACATGGACTGTTCGTAATCCCTTCATGAGCTGAAATAGCTTATGCACACTTGTCACATTAGAAAGACGCCATCTGTAGGAAGACAATTGAGGAATGGAAGGGTGCTAACTAGGTAAGGTTGGCTAGCCCATCGTACAGTGGAATCACCTGCTCTGAGACCTGAATTAGTGTCATCTTCATCCAACCAAGACATGCTAAAACCTAGCATAGTTTCTGAGGAGACGCTGATTGGACCATTTACTTTCTGCAGTATTCAAAATGGCCTTCTATTGGAGGAAAGCCAGACTGAATCAGTGAAGTGAAATAGAAAAGAAACGGGGAGACATTCACTTTAGATTCCAGGCTAGGTCTCTTTGACATACAGTGCCTTGCAAAAGTATTCATCCCCCTTGGCGTTTTTCCTATTTTGTTGCATTACAACCTGTAATTTAAATTGATTTTTATTTTGTATTTCATGTAATGGACATACACGAAATAGTCAAAATTGCTGAAGTAAAATGATAAAAATAACTTGTTTCAAAAAATTCTATAAAATAAATAACGGAAAAGTGGTGTGTGCATATGTATTCACCCCCTTTGCTATGAAGCTCCTAAATAAGATCTGGTGCAACCAATTACTTCTGATGTTTGGTTTCATGTCTGTCAAACTACTGTCTCCTGTATAATATGAAATTATAATGATTTAGAAGAAGTCACATAATTAGTTAAATAAAGTCCACCTGTGTGCAATCTAAGTGTCACATGATCTGTCACATGACCTCAGTATATATACACCTGTTCTGAAAGGCCCCAAAGTCTGCAACACCACTAAGCAAGGGGCACCACCAAGCAAGTGGCACCATGAAGACCAAGGAGCTCTCCAAACATGCTTATAATTTAAGATAGAAAATAATTTAAGATAAGATAAAAAAGCTGCAAAGCTCCACAGCAGAGATTGGAGTATCTGTCCATAGGACCACTTTAAGCCATACACTCCACAGAGCTGGGCTTTACGGAAGAGTGGCCAGAAGAAAAGCCATTGCTTAAAGAAAAAAATAAGCAAACACGTTTGGTGTTCGCCAAAAGGCATGTGGGAGACTCCCCAAACATATGGAAAAAGGTACTCTGGTCAGATGAGACTAAAATTGAGCTTTTTGGCCATCAAGGAAAACGCTATGTCTGGCGCAAACCCAACACCTCTCATCACCCCGAGAACACCATCCCCACAGTGAAGCGTGGTGGCAGCATCATGCTGTGGGGATGTTTTTAATCGGCAGGGACTGGGAAACTGGTCAGAATTGAAGGAATGATGGATGGCGCTAAATACAGGGAAATTCTGTTTCATTCTTCCAGAGATTTGAGACTGGGACGGAGGTTCACCTTCCAGCAGGACAATGACACTAAGCATACTGCTAAAGCAACACTCAAATGGTTTAAAGGGAAACATTTAAATGTCTTGGAATGACCTAGTCAAAGCCCAGACCTCAATCCAATTGAAAATCTGTGGTATGACTTAAAGATTGCTGTAACCCAGCGGAACCCATCCAACTTGAAGGAGCTGGAGCAGTTTTGCCTTGAAGCAAAAATCCCAGTGGCTAGATGTGCCAAGCTTATAGAGACATACCCCAAGAGACTTCCATCTGTAATTGCTGCAAAAGGTGGCTCTACAAAGTATTCACTTTGGAGGGGTGAATAGTTATGCACGCTCAAGTTTTCTGTTTTTCTGTCTTATTTCTTGTTTGTTTCACAATAAAAAACATTTTGCATCTTCAAAGTGGCAGGCATGTTGTGTAAATCAAATGATACAAACCCCCAAGAAATCCATATTAATTCCAGGTTGTAAGTCAACAAAATAGGAAAAATGCCAAGGGGGGTGAATACTTTCACAAGCCACTGTAGGACTAAACTTTTATGTTACCAGTCAGAGTTGCTTTTACTTTTGTTTGGCATGCGTGCGCAAGAGTGTGTGTGTGTGTGTGTGTGTGTGTTTGTGTAGGCTGAATTTACAGTGGTTGTCAGATAAAAGAGATGAATGAGACTCTGAAGCAGTCTCCTGTCATTAACGCACACACTCACAGGCCATTACCCATTTATGACAAATATTTTTTAGTGTGTGAAAGGGTTCAGGTAACATAAACACTAATGTTGCAACATGCCACGTGGTCCACGCACGCACTTACACACACAGGCTGACAGATGGATAGACACAGAAAATGACTATTTTAGCAGTACAGTCAGAGTGAATTATATCATGACATTTGGAGGGGCCTCTATTTTTTTCACGGGACCTCATATGTGTGCACGTGCACACATTTTTTTTATGGGCCTAATAAAAACGGTAATTTAACTGTGAAAATGTATTACCTTTTAATGTGGCATGAACACAACCAGTCATGATGTTTTCACGTGATTGTCAAACAAATCACTTTAAAAAGTAGGCTACCTGTGCACATTCGTCCACTGCAAAATAATTCCAGCATCCAAACAGTGTCACGGATGCCGCCGAGGCTGCTCCTCCTCCTTGCTCGGGCAGGCTTCGGCGTTCGTCGTCCCCGGAGTACTAGCTACTACCGCTTGATGTTTTCGATGTTTGTTTTGTCATGTCTAGTTGGTGCACCTGTTTCGTATTCTGTATTGATTATGTCACCTATAAGTTCCCCTGTGTTATGTTTGCATTTTGTGTGTTATTGTCCGCTTGTCTTGAATGTATTGGTCGGTACCTTGGCTATTCGTGTTGTTTTACGCACCCCGCGTATCTATTCGCCTCTAGTGTTTTGAGGCCGTTTATTTTGTGTGCATATAGAGCTTATTAGTAAAGTCGTCTTGACTTATCCTCTGTGTCCTGCGCTTGACTTCACCACCGCATCCACATCAGCACTCTTGACAAACAGTGCACTGTGCACCTGCCGTTTGATGAATGGAAAGAGACATCTGTTACAAAACACCATACAGTGTAATGACATTCAACGATTGTCATTAGGCCTACACTCTTGTAGCCTGAATTAATTGATGTGTCTTTTTCGTAAAAATTCAGGACACATGAAAAGTGGCTGAAATACGGTTTAAACCATGACAGAGCGGTGGGGGTGTTTGTTTAATTTAGAATAAGATTTTATTTTAATATTTACCACTGTAGCAGTACAAAATTGCATTTAAATCAAATGGTTAAATTAGCACTATTTAGAGACCCCAACCCAAAGTTTGACTTTTGTTGCCTTTATGGGAGCTCATGGCTCATTCGGGGTAATTGGTGCACTGAGTACAGCGTGTGGGTGGGTGGGTGGGTGGCGGGCTGTCTGTGAGTGTGTCTGTGTGTGTGTGTCTGTGAGTGTGTGTGTGTGTGTGTGTGTCTGTGAGTGTGTGTCTGTGAGTGTGTCTGTGTGTGTGTGTCTGTGAATGTGTGTCTGTGAGTGTGTGTGTGTGTGTGTGTTGCGTAATCGCTCAGGCAGGTCACCCAACTCATCAGACAGCCTCTTACTGCCACTCAGACTGCCGGATAAAGGAGGGAGGGAATGAAGAGAAAGAGTGGGGTGAAAACGAGGGGAGAGGCCATTGTAGTAGAGCGAGAGACAAGAAAGGAGGGGAGGGAGGGGCCTAAGTATAAAAGATGAAGCATTAAAATAGAGAAGAGGAATAGAGCCTCTTGACTGAGTAGGTCTCAGGAAGTCTCTCCCTCTCCTCTTTCTCACTCTCTCTCTGGTGTATGCTGTTTAGAAATCTCTTAAGAAAAATAAACAGGTGTTGTTGATTAACTGAAAATACATTACTAATCATATGAGACTGCAATCATTGACTGAATCCCTAGAAATGTTTCGTAAGGCTTTAACTTAAATATAGAAACATTAATAAGCATGACTGTCATTTCTGTATGAGTTGTATAACTGGACATTTTCCCCCTATACAGTTGGTCGGAAGTTTACATACACCTTAGCCAAATACATTTAAACTAATTTTTTCACAATTCCTGACATTTTATCCTGCTAAGAATTCCCTGTCTTAGGTGAGTTAGGATCATCACTTTATTTTAAGAATGTGAAATGTCAGAATAATAGTAGAGAGAATTATTTATTTCAGCTTTTATTTCTTTCATCACATTCCCAGTGGGTCAGAAGTTTACATACACTCAATTAGTATTTGGTAGCATTGCCTTTAAATTGTTTAACTTGGGTCAAACATTTCAGGTAACCTTCCACAAGCTTCCCACAATAAGTTGGGTGAATTTTGGCCCATTCCTCCTGACAGAGCTGGTGTAACTGAGTCAGGTTTGTAGGCCTCCTTGCTCACACACGTTATTTCAGTTCTGCCCACACATTTTCTATAGGATTGAGGTCAGGGCTTTGTGATGGCCACTCCAATACCTTGACTTTGTTGTCCTTAAGCCATTTTGCCACAACTTTGGAAGTATGCTTGGGGTCATTGTCCATTTGGAAGACCCATTTGCGACCAAGCTTTAACTTCCTGACTGATGTCTTGAGATGTTGCTTCAATATATCCACATAATTTTCCTTCCTCATGATGCCATCTGTTTTGTGAAGTGCACCAGTCCCTCCTGCAGCAAAGCACCCCCATGATGCTGCCACCCCCGTGCTTCACGGTTGGGATGTTGTTCTTCGGCTTGCAAGCGACCCCCTTTTTCCTCCAAACATAAAGATGGTCATTATGGCCAAACAGTTCTATTTTTGTTTCATCAGACCAGAGGACATTTCTCCAAAAAGTACGATCTTTGTCCCTATCGGCAGTTGCAAACCGTAGTCTGGCTTTTTAATGGCGGTTTTGTACAGATGAACGTGGTACCTTCAGGCGTTTGGAAATTGCTCCCAAGGATGAACCAGACTTGTGGAGGTCTACACATTTTTTTCTGAGGCCTTGGCTGATTTCTTTTGATTTTCCCATGATGTCAAGCAAAGAGGCACTGAGTTTGAAGGTAGGCCTTGAAATATATCCACAGGTACACCTCCTTTTTTTTTTGTCATTTAGCAGACGCTCTTATCCAGAGCGACTTACAGTTAGCATAAATTTTTTCATACTGGCCCCCCGTGGGAATCGAACCCACAACTCTGGCGTTGCAAACGCCATGCTCTACCAACTGAGCTAGAAGGGGCAAATTGACTCAAATGATGTCAATTAGCCTATCAGAAGCTTCTAAAGCCATGACATAATTTTCTGGAATTTTCCAAGCTGTTTAAAGGCACAGTCAACTTAGTGTATGTAAACTTCTGACCCACTAGAATTGTGATACAGTGAATTATAAGTGAAATAATCTGTCTGTAAACAATTGTTGGAAAAAGTACTTGTGTCATGCACAAAGTAGATGTCCTAACCGACTTGCCAAAACTATAGTTTGTTAACAAGAAATGTGTGGAGTGGTTGAAAAACAAGTTTTAATGACTCCAACCTAAGTGTATGTAAACTTCCGACTTCAACTGTATATTAAAAAAGCCAAGTTAATTTGTGTCTGAAATATGAGGTTCTTGCACAGCATATTTCTGGAGCGAGGTCTTTCGCTCTCTCCCTCTCTCAGCTCTCCTTAGGTCACCTGTTCCGAGTGTCTCTGTGAAACATTCCTCCTCGTCTCAATGCTCAAATTACACTCAGAAATCCAAGTAGTAATTGCTGTACCTGACTGCTGTACCTGACTGGGGTGTGTGTGTTTGTGTGTGTGTGCATGTTTTTGCAGCATGTATCTGACTGTCTCTCTCGTTCTCTCTTAGGTTTGTATTATCCAGAACCTCCTGGACACCTGAGTCATCTTCATCTCTCACCATGGCGACGGTTGTCAGCCCGACTGTTGCTCTGGACGACAGCGTCGCCCTTAGAAACAGATGGACCGTCTGGAGGGCCTTGCTCCATAAAGGACCCCCGAGGCAGTCTAACCTAATGCCTGACCATGAAGGCCCATTGGCCAGGCCGTCCAGTCCACTTCCTGACCAGAACTACCACCTCTCCAGAGAGGGGACGTCACGGGGTCGCCGTCATGCCAACGGTAGCGGTGGGCGTGGCCAGGGTCAGCTGATGAGGGTGGGGTGTGTCCTGGGAACCTGTCAAGTTCAGAACCTCAGTCACCGACTCTACCAGCTGATTGGACAGAGTGGGAGACAAGACTCCTCCCCTATCAACCCCCGTAGCCCACACAGCTACGGATGAATAACTTTATTGGCAACCAACAAACAGGCACAGTCACTGTTGAATAACATTATCGTCAACCAATATACAGGCACAGCTACAGCTGAATAACCTAATCAACAAGCAACACAGGCAGAGCCACATCTGAATACATTTATCAACAAGACGACAACCTATACACAGACACAGCTAACAGCAGAATGTAGGTCAGATGTAAGGTGGTGAAAGAGACAGAGAGTCTTAAGTGCTGACTGCGGGTAGGGTGGAAGGAGGTCTGTAATGCCTTGTTGTCCTGAGTTAGAGAGTCATTACTCCTGTCCCCACTGAGCTGAGCTGATCTACAATCCACTCTCCATGATCATCCCTATATTCTTGTCTGTCTCTGAACATCTCTCAATTTCAATTATCTTTCTCTCTCTCTCAAGTTTAGAATATATGTCCTTGAGCAGGACACACCACAACACCATTTCTACAGGCTCTAACCAATCACAGCCAACCATAGTCCCAAACAGCCTTAAGAAGTTTCATAGTCCCTTATCGCTCTATAAAGCTTCTTAATCTCATGTCGTCCCATGAAGTCTGATATGTAGCTCCTATTTCCAATGTTAGATGTGTGTCTAGTGAGCTACTAGGTCAAGTGTATTAGAAACCCGTAAAGCACTTTAAAGTAAATACTGTTTTATGTTTGCTATGACTTGAACGTTAAAGATATGTTGTTTAATTTTAAATTAATTCAACCTTTTTTGTTGTAAATATTTCACTGACTAAACCAGTGAAACGAATGTGGCCGAAATGTTTCCCCAAATGTACATTGTCTGTTGTATTCATCTTATTCTATATCTTTGTATAGGCTGTTATATTTAATAAAGATGATGTGTTTAAATGTGTCTTGTGAGTGTGTTGTGTCTGTGTGACAGAGAACCATCCAACACTTTCCATGTCCACAATAACACTTCCTGCACAAGCTAATCAATGACTACTGTAGATACAGCACATACAGCTGTACTGCTGTCAAGGTCAAAGGTCAGTGTGACAGGAGGTCACCTCGCTCCTCTTGTGTGATTGATCTAGATCACTGTGACTCATTATCTGGGTCATCACAGCTGCATCGCTGTAGGTCACTTCCTCAATCTCCAATCACCATTAGTGTATGAGGTGGTCCAGGGCTACATGAAAACAAGCCTCACACACTGTGGCCTCTAGTCTGTGTGTGTGTGTGTGTGTGGACGTGTTTAACTATTCTTGTGGGGACCAGAAGTCCCCACAAGAAGAGTAAACAAACAAACATTTGACCAACTGGGGACATTTTGTTAGTCCCCACGAGGTCAAACACTTTTTCTAGGGGGTTTAGGGTTAAGGTTAGAATTAGTGTTAGGGTTAGAATTACGTTATGGGTTAGGGTTAAGGCTAGGTTTTTGGATTAAAGTTAGGTTTAAGGTTAAGAGTACGGGTTAGGGTTAGGTTTAGGGTTAGGGGTTATGGAAAATAGCATTTTGAATGGTACTGAATTGTGTGTCCCCACAAGGTTAGCTGTACAAGACTGTCTGTGTGTGTGCGTGTGTGTGTGTGTGTGTGCGTGTGTTTGTATGCGTACGTCCAGTATCCTTCTTTCTCAGTCTCGGATAGAATACTGCTGACATATCAATACCATAGAGATAAAGATACTCTATCAGAACTTTTGTGAAACAGTAAAGTTGAAAAATATATGTCAAATAGAAATCCAATATGGATGGTGTTAAGAGATAGATGGGAGGGGTTGAATGGAGCTGAAGGTTGGGAATAATAACAACTAATAACAAAACTAAAAAAACACAGTGCCACTGCCGAGGCCCACTACCAAGGACTGTAGCCTCTCCTTCTCCGTGGCCGACGTGACTAAGACATTTAAGCATGTTAACCCCCGCAAGGCTGCCGGCCAAGACGGCATCCCTAGCCGCGTCCTCAGAGCAAGCGCAGACCAGCTGGCTGGTGTGTTCATGGACATATTCAATCTCTCCCTTTCCCAGTCTGCTGTTCCCACATGCTTCAAGATGGCCACCATTGTTCCTGTACCCAAGAAAGCAAAGGTAACTGAACTAAATGACTATCGCCCTGTAGCACTCACCTCTGTCATCACTAAGTGCTTTGAGAGACTAGTCAAAGATCATATCTACGTTACCTGTCACCCTAGACCAACTTCAATTTGCTTACCGCCCCAATAGATCCACAGACAATGCAATCACCATCACACTGCACACTGCCCTATCCCATTTGGACAAGAGGAATACCTATGTAAGAATGCTGTTCATTGACCATAGCTCAGCATTCAACACCATAGTACCCTCCAAGCTCATCATCAAGCTCGAGGCCCTGGGTTTGAACCCCGCCCTGTGCAACTGGGTCCTGGACTTCCTGGCAAGCCGCCTCCAGGTGGTGAAGGTAGGAAACAACATCTCCACTTTGCTGATCCACAACACTGGGGCCCCACAAGGGTGCGTGCTCAGCCCCCTCCTGTACTCCCTGTTCACCCATGACTGCGTGGCCAAGCACGCCTCCAACTCAATCATCAAGTTTGCAGAAGACACAACAGTAGTAGGCTTGATTACCAACAATGACGAGACCGCCTACAGGGAGGAGGTGAGGGCTCTGGGAGTGTGGTGCCAGGAAAATAACCTCTCACTCAATGTCAACAAAACAAAGGAGATGATCGTAGACTTCAGGAAACAGCAGAGGGTGCACCCCCCTATCCAAATTGACAGGACTGCAGTGGAGAAGGTGGAAAGCTTCAAGTTCCTTGGCGTACACATCACCGACAAACTGAAATGGTCCACCCACGCATACAGTGTGGTGAAGAAGGCGCAACAGAGCCTCTTCAACCTCAGGAGGCTGAAGAAATTCGGCTTGGCACCTAAAACCCTCACAAGCCTTTACAGATGCACAATTGAGAGCATCCAAAGAATAACGGAAAAGTGGTGCGTGCATATGTATACACCCCCTTTGCCGTGAAACCCCTAAAAAAGATCTGGTGCAACCAATTACCTTCAGAAGTCACATAATTAGTTAAATAAAGTCCACCTGTGTGCAATCTAAGTGTCACATGATCTCAGTATATATACACCTATTCTGAAAGGCCCCAACACCACTAAGCAAGGGGCACCACCAAGCAAGTGGCACCATGAAGACCAAGGAGCTCTCCAAACAGGTCAGGGACAAAGTTGTGGAGAAGTACAGATCAGGGTTAGGTTATAAAAAAAGATCAGAAACTTTGAACATCCCACGGAGCACCATTAAATCCATTATTACAAAATGGAAAGAATATGGCAACACAACAAACCTGCCAAGAGAGGGCCGCCCACCAAAACTCACGGACCAGGCAAGGAGGGCATTAATCAGAGAGGCAACAAAGAGACCAAAGATAACCCTGAAGGAGCTGCAAAGCTCCACAGCAGAGATTGGAGTATCTGTCCATAGGACCACTTTAAGCCATACACTCCACAGAGCAGGGTTTTACGGAAGAGTGGCCAGAAAAAAAGCCATTGCTTAAAGAAAAAAATAAGCAAACACGTTTGGTGTTCGCCAAAAGGCATGTGGGAGACTCCCCAAAGATATGGAAGAAGGGACTCTGGTCAGATGAGACTAAAATTGAGCTTTTTGGCCATCAAGGAAAACGCTATGTCTGGTGCAAACCCAACACCTCTCATCACCCCGAGAACACCATCCCCACAGTGAAGCATGGTGGTGGCAGCATCATGCTGTGGGGATGTGTTTCATCGGCAGGGACTGGGAAACTGGTCAGAATTGAAGGAATGATGGATGCCGCTAAATACAGGGAAATTCTTGAGGGAAACCTGTTTCAGTCTTCCAGAGATTTGAGACTGGGACGGAGGTTCACCTTCCAGCAGAACAATGACCCTAAGCATACTGCTAAAGCAACACTCAAGTGGTTTTAGGTGAAACATTTAAATGTCTTGGAATGGCCTAGTCAAAGCCCAGACCTCAATCCAATTGAGAATCTGGGTATGACTTAAAGATTGCTGTACACCAGCGGAACCCATCCAACTTGAAGGAGCTGGAGCAGTTTTGCCTTGAAGAATGGGAAAAAATCCCAGTGGCTAGATGTGCCAAGATTATAGAGACATACCCCAAGAGACAAGGGGGGGGGGGGGGGGGGGGGGTGAATAGTTATGCACGCTGAAGTGTTCTATTTTTTTGTGTTATTTCTTGCTTGTTTCACAAGAAAAAATATTTTGCATCTTCAAAGTGGTAGACATGTTGTGTAAATCAAATGATACAAAGAAATAGGAAAAATAGGAAAAATGCCAAGGGACGTGAATACATTCGTATGTGTGTATGTGTAAATGTACACTACCGGTCAACGTTTTAGAACACCTAGTCATTCAAGGGTTTGCGTATATAGAAGATAGCCCGATTCGGTAAAAGACCCAAGTCCATATTATGGCAAGAACCGCTCAAATAAGCAAAGAGAAACTTTGAAAGTTTCTTCAAGTGCAGTCGCAAAAACCATCAAGCGCTATGATGAAACTGGCTCTCATGAGGACCACCACAGGAATGGAAGACTCAGAGTTACCTCTGCTGCAGAGGATAAGTTCATTAGAGTTAACAGCGTCAGAAATTGTAGCCCAAATAAATGCTTCACAGAGTTCAAGTCACAGACACATCTCAACATCAACTGTTCAGAGGGGACTGTGTGAATTAGGCCTTCATGGTCGAATTGCTTGCTAAGAAACACAAGCAATGGACATTAGACCGGTGGAAATGTGTCCTTTGGTCTGGAGTCCAAATTTGAGATTTTTGGTTACAACCGCTGTGTCTTTGTGAGACGCGGTGTGGGTGAACGGATGATCTCCGCATGTGTAGTTCCCACCGTAAAACATGGAGGAGGAGTTGTTATGGTGTGGGGGTGCTTTGCTGGTGACACGGTTATTTAGAATTCAAGGCACACTTAACCAGCGTGGCTACCACAGCATTCTGCAGCGATACGCCATCCCATCTGGTTTGGGCTTAGTGGGACTATCATTTGT